GATATTTGCCTTCTATTCATGTACAGTTTAGTGTGGTTTCAATCACTACCCTGGTTAAGAAACTAGACCAATTGTGATTGATAAGATGGAGGTGGTGTGGCCATTATGGGATGGTTTTCAGTTCGCATTCAGTCTCTACACTATGAAGCCAGAGAAGGAAAGATAAAACATGGCATTTGCCATGTTCCCTGGGATAACCCAGACTGTCAGAATTCTACATGCTATTTGGTTCCCGTCAATCTGAGGCATTCAGTTGAGACTGCTTTGGAACTGAGCCACTTGGAAAAAGACTCGGTGTGTGAAGCACGCTTTATTGGCCTGGCTTTTTGCCCAGAGCAAACAGATGGGGTGGAGTGATGGCTTCATGATTTGGTAAGCAACTTTCCCATTTGGTAGTTTTCTGGTAATTTGTTAGCTGTCATCTCAACTTTCCCATCCACCAGTCTTTTGATCAGAGAAGAGGTAGGGACAACCGCAGAGCCTCATACTGCAGCAGTGTTGTCCATTTGCAGACTGCTCAGCCAGTTGTCCATGTCACTATGCAGTCTCACAGTTCTGCAAGCACACCTAGTAGACTATCTTCAACTTTGTTCTTGTGAAACCAGTTAATGGGATATTGTTGTTAAGCAAGACGTCTGATACAGAAGAGCCACTAAATATGAATTTGAAAAACTTAGAAATAGAATAAATTTTCAACAGGATCTATGGGGGAATTGATAAATCTATAATATCACTGTAAATATAACCACACAAATGAATGTGTTACACTCAACTTGACCTAAATTTTAAAGAAAATTAGGTGCCTAAATATAGTATTGCTCGATATTGATGATTAATAAGGCTCAAAGAAAGTAATTTACATTGATATTATAAGGCTAAGTATTTATCTTCTACTTACAAAAAATAAAAACTAGAAAAATTGAGACATTTTAAAACAAATACCTCATCATGAAATTTATTTGAAACAATGGGTTATGAATGAAGGTAAAATGTAGAGTCACTTTTCCATTAGCTCTATGGAAAAGACAAACATTTACTGATTTCCAGCCATTTGTTCATGTTTGATCTCAACAGCCAAATATCTGTATCCAGAGGAAGACAACTTGTTTACAATCTTGAGAAGAATAATTTTGTTGGTTTTTCAAATGTTCGAAGCAACTGGCGGGCGGATCTTCATTTGTTTCCGAGGATGGTTTCTCAAGCAATTCATTAAAAACTAAGTGGCAACCAAGCAGGGGTGGTGCGCGCCTTCAATCCCAGAACTCAGGAGACAGATGTAGACCGATCTCTGACTTCAAGGCCAGTCTGTTCTACAGAGCGGGTTCCGGGACAGCCAGGGTTACACAAAGGAACACTGTCTCAAAAAACAAAGACAAAAACAAAAAACAAAATTAAACAATAAGAGCATAAGTGGAGTCTGTCTAAATGTAATGTCTAGCAGCAAAAAGCATATGGAAAACAGGAACATAGTGGACTATTTGCCAGAGCATATGAAATATAATATGCTGAATAAGGTTCAGTGTATTATTCATTGGCAGGCAAGAGAAATTCTTTAAATATTGTTTTTGTTGTTAAATTCATTGTCGGTGCTCTCAGTGGCGAAGTTTATGCCTTTCTTTAGCTTACTCATCAGTAGCTGTCAGACTTTTCATTGTCAAGAGAAAGTAAGTTTGCTTCTGTTTCTTACTAAAGTTTCCCATCATAGCATATATGGAAATATTTTGTTAAAATTGTTTGCCAAGATTCAAAATTTTAAAAATAATAATCATCTCTATCTTCAACTATTATTATCAAATGTTATCTGACTTAGAGATTAGATTAGCTGAAAATCTCATAATTAAAAAATCATAGTAATGTTACAAGACAAAAAAGCATTTATATGTTTTATATGTCTAGTTAAGAATGTCTGTACATAGTATATAGATCTTGATAAGAATATATATTTAAACTTTGATTCATGTTAACTCCAACATGATTTAAATACTTTCTTCATTATTAAAAGTAAAATAAGAATTCTACACTAATTTTAAATGGTACATTTTTCAAATTCAAATTGTAGGATCACAGTATATTTAATACCTTAGTGCAGACACAAATAAAATTTCCATATTTCAAAATTAATTTAACGTACCATTGAACATCTTGTAAATACACTTCAATTGGAAGTAATTAGTTTACAGTGCAATAACATATAAAAGCCAAGATAGCAAGAAAAGAATCTAATTTTATAACTTTCCAATAAATGACAATTATTCTTAATTAATGTAATAGGATCATGGACTAGTAAGTGTATTTAGCAGTACCTATTTCTGTAAAAAAATAGTTCAAAGTTAAAATCTGAAAAGCTTCATTATAAATCAAATTAACATGAACATTAGTAACTGACTTTGATTATAGGGAATATTAACTTAAAACCCATCTAAGTGCAATGTCATCTCCCCTGAATTCTATTCTCATTAGCAAACTTTTAATATAAAAGATAGATGAAATTTTGACTATGTTTTGAATTTTTATTATCTTGAACATTTTGACTATGTTGTTTAAATTTGTTTCCTTTTTTCTCCTGTACTACCTACATAATATTCGTGCTTTTCCCCCTTCTAACCCACAAAACAAAATACTTATCCTGCCTTTTTTCAGAGAGTTTTTCTGGTCTTTACTCAAGTGATTTGCTAGATATTTAACGATCTTGGTTCATGTGCACTGAAGTGTGGTTTAGGGAATCATTCTAAAACAAATTTCTGTGTGGTCAAAATAAACTCAATGGCCCCCATCATATCTGAAGTCATTCAATTTCCAGCACTCTCAGTGTAGCTATTATTCTTTCAAAAAAGCCATATCCAGAAATCCAAATCCGTTATAGGGTGGTTGTCCAAAACTGAGGCACAGCAGCATAAGAGAACTAGATAGATAAGAGTCCCTTGAGCCCCATTCTATTCTATGTGAATGTCAAGATACTGCATAAATGGGAAACTGCTTTCCCTTGTCCTATCAAGTATCATAGCTCACAAGATCTCCCAGAGGGCTAAGAGCCAGAGATGAATGCTTCCCAAGCTTCCTGTCACCCTGGACCAACAGAGCATCCTTCGGCGATGACTCGGATGAGCGTACCTCACTAACTCCCACCTCTCTGCAGTGGTGACACAATCCAGTGATGGTTCATACACAGGGTAATACGTGTTTTACAGACAGCTTCCCCTCCCGATTTCACTTCCCTGATCTAAACCACTTGTCCTGACCCCTGTCTCCTTGGAATCTAACTGATCACCAACCACATAAAGTCATGAAATCTAAATATTTGCTCTTTGAAAATATACCAAAAGATTAGAAAACAGGAGCAGCAGGTACCTAATCTCCTCACTCAGTAATCTGCTCCTACCATCGTGTTTTCAGTGAAAGTTAAAATGAATACACACTGATATAGCTAGCATAGTTTAAGAGGATAAAAACAGAAAAAGACAACCTATAATTTTTATTCCCTATTCCCCAAAGTTAGAGTCTTGTTAATTCCCTTTGATTTTTCCTACAGAGTGACCCCAAGAGACTATGGTTGACAAAAAAAAATGCTAAATTTAAATAATTAAACTAGTGACATTAAAATATTATGGTTTTCACTTCAGGCTATTTTAGCATGTCTTTTCTATTTTGTCCCTAGCTCCAGTAGCTCCATTGGGGATCCATTACTCACATTTGTTTCTTGGGAAAGTGCATTAGTTTAGGTAAGCTTAAAGTTGGGTTCTACATTTCGTTCAGTATGAGGAAGTCCAGAAGGTGTGGGGAAGCTGACTCTGAGGACAGAAATATATTGAAAGTAGAAATCCCTGAGATTTAGAAAAATCCCATAAAAAAACAACAAAACAAAATAACAACAAAAACTATGAAGTTTCTAGGTTGTAGAACTGGTAGAAAAATATAGCTAAGGGATAATCCAGAGCCCATTGACATCTAAAATACAGTCTGTCGAAGTGTACTGCATAGGAAATTCTGTAAACAGAAGAAGGAAGATGGGAAGGTCTAGCAAAGAGTATGGAAATCTTCCCGCCCAGTAATAGGAGTTCTCTGCGTACTTTGTATCCCTTCATCCTATCCTGGGAGGCCTTGGTGGCTCTCCTGTGGCTCCAGGAGGCAGACTTGGATCTCCAAGAGAGAGAGCACAGAGGTTTGGTGCAGTCTCAGTGGCAATGCACTGTGGGAAACAGAGATCCGTTTCCCCTACAGCCATCGGGTCCATGGCTATGCTCACATTTACTTCCTGAACTAATTCATCTATTCCACTCTTGTGTCCCATGGAGTCTTTTCCCCCTTTACCATGCTCTATTCAGATGGAGTCACTGGGTAAAAGAAAGAGACAGAAATGGGGAAAGAAAACTCTAGACCCAACCTCCAATATAGCTGTATTCATGGTTTCCCTGTTATTTTCCCCATGTTTCAAGTTGATGTGTTTGTACAAGTGGAATTTGAAGAAAACTGGGTAGAGAAAACATCATTTTCCTTCTGAATATCACACTGAACAGAACATATGTCTTCTTTTCAAAACCCTCTGACGGATTTGCCTGAGGTACATTGAGGTCTGCGGGGTAAATTTCAAACGCCCATCTTTCACTTGTCCAGTCTTCTTGAACTTCTCTAACCATGGAGTGATTCTTTGATTCGGCCCAAGATTCTGAGTTGGAAAGTGAGTTGTGGCCTCGGAGAAGAGAAAGAAGCTTCTGAGATGAACTCCACCACCAGCTAAAATCAGACCTCTTCTCAGGTGAGGATTTCTAACTGAAAAACCCTGTGTGACCATGCACAGGGTGACTTCTTTTTATTTGTTTATTTTTAAGTGGAAAATGTCTAAGCATCTTTAAAGAAATAGCAGAAAAGAGAAATACTATTCTCTGAAAGAAAGAATCTTAGATTCTCCATGAATAATGGTTGTCTTTGACTCGGCTACAAAGAGGAAGTGCAACTTAGGTTTCACACCATTTTTTCTTTTAGTGACAAGGCAGGGGCTGAGGCAGACTGTCCTCCCTTGAGCCCACAGCCTCTCAGGCAATCCCCCTTGCCAGCTGAGGCCCATCTGTAAACACTTCCACATCCTTTCTCTCTTCCCTTTTCTATCCATCTATATCACTTTGACAGACACCTGCGTGACGACTCAGTCAGGGCTGATTCCCTTCCCAGTAAACGCTGTCTGTGAGAATTCAGCTCCAGAGCGGGCCTCAGAGCGACTGCTTTCTTTTTCAGGATTCAGATATCCAAGAATTTCCGACATTCCATTTCGTTCTTCTAATGGAAGTGACTCTCAAGACACGAGTGTCGTGTATATTGTCTATGAACCTTTGTGGTGTTTGTAGAAGCCAATAGATTATGTTTTATGTTTCAGGTTTATGAGTACAAAGAGAATGGGAATACAGATGCGTGTGGAGACAAAGGAGGAAAACTCAGGACGAGATTCTGGAGAAGCATTGTAATTACGTGCTGGTGAGTAGGGCGTCCCAGTCACTTATGCCTTTCAGAACAAGGAAGGGAAACCATGGCAAATAGACAAGGAAATCAGCAAGGTGAAAGCCCACCATTTATAAATAAAAATCAGGAGCAACACTGTGAACCAGTAGCTGGGAACCTCTGAAAGAAAACTGGAGAGCCGAATAGTACAGGCGAATGCCTGAGGGGTCCTAGCTAAAAGGCCATCTCAGAGGAGAGTTGACACTACAGTTGACAGAAGAATCCAGACTCAGAGCTGCAGTGACAAAGAGCTTCAGAATCAGATGTTTCGTATCCTGAGGACTCAGCTCAGACCTAACCGTGTGAAGTGACTTGGTGATTTCCACAGGCACTCTCTCTAGCTAGCATAGGAAGTAACAACTTATGCAACAATGCCATTGGAATCATTGAGCCAGGGTCCCACCAAGGTATCAAAACACCAACATAAGCCAAAGTATCGAAAGAGAAAGTTTAAAAAATACCTCTAGCTGGAGACTATAAGGTTAGAAAAGAAGGTAGGCCAGGGTACTTCCTCACCAGAAAGGTAGCAGACTACACTTTCGGAGATGAAGAATCAGGGGAGACAATGTTGATTTAATTTTCCTTCTGTAAAAGGGACAGAATAAGCAATAGATCAGTCAACAATCTTATTGGATTTTTCTGAGGGAAAGGTAAATAAATCCCCTTGGAACAACCCACATCAGCTAATCTCTTAACTCTCTGAGACATCTTCCATTACTATCTCTGGGGAGCGATCATCTTTGTCAGGTTCCAGCACTATGTGTCGAGGATGTAGGACCATGCAGCCACCGCTACCCCTGCCCTAGGTTCTGAAGCAAATCTTGTGTGTTCTCTGCTCAGTAAAGAAGCTCTTCTTTAACTGTCTAGTGAGGGTCTCTGTTTTTTTTTCCTTTTATTTTTTTTTAAGATTCTCTCAAGTAAGACGGGGTGTCATTTGTCTGTAGGGCATTTAGAGCTGGGGTTGAATATTTTACAGGAATTTTATGTTAGACAAAGGAGAAAGATTTAGTTCCCATGACTCTGAAAGAGTGTCCTGCTTTTTAAGAATAATTTTTTAAATGAAACTCGCCATGATAGTTTTGGACTGATTATTCCTGTCTTTCTTAGATGTACTGTGGTGGCACATGAAACATTGAAATGTTTCAAGTCAGGTATGATAAAGCACACGTGTAATCACAGCAAGTAGAAGGCTGGTATAGATGGTTGGCTCTGAGTTAGAGGTCTACATAGCGCCAGGTGAGCCTGGGCCACTGCATGAAGCCTGAATCAAAAGTCAAACCAGAACAAGTAAGAAAGTAGACAAACAACCAAACCAGAAGCAGGGTGCTGAGGCAGAGAATTGAACATTTCACATGTTTCAAGTTGAGAAAAACAAGTTAATCCTAAGGTTGTTCAAAGGGATCGGTAACCATATCACACTAAGCAATACCATAAACCTAAAACCTGGTCCAGAAGATAAGGCACGTTCCACACAGTTCTAGCACATATGTCTGTTCTTACATTGTTCTATTTGCCTAAAGTTTAAAATCACGTGGTACAAGAGTGATTTTTCTTCCAGAAAATCAAGCCAATGCCTTCATTGAATCTTTTGGCCTCTGTTGCTCCAGGCTCTCCTTGTTCTGTATCGCCCCAGGTTCTGCTTATTTCTTTATATGACTGTAGTTCTTCCTTCTTTCCTAGTTTGAACCAGAATACATCTGTGTCTGTCATGATGGCTCTAACTGTGTCTTTAGGGAAGCAAGTTGCTGAAGTCACCCTGGAGAGGAGCAGCAACAGAGATTTTCATCACATTGGGAAAAAAAATCAGAACTGCTCATGCAGGCCAGCGAGTGATCTCAAATCTTGAGCCCTGGACCACAGATAATTTATTGGCTCCTTGGAAAGAATACAAGCTATACTAAAAATGTGGACTAAAGTGATTTATTATTTTTGGTGTGTTTTCCTTCTGTTTCAAAGATATACACAAAAGGGGAGATGTTTGCCATAAAACCACATTGCAGTAAGTTATCTTTCTGTGGGGCTACAGGGGCGGTCTGCACAAAACAGTTTCATTTCTCCCTTTATATTCTAGGACTGTAGCTCCTACATATTTTATCACCCAATATTTTGTCTTTTCTCTCTTCCATCTGTTGACATCATCTCAGCAAGTGACCAATAAATATTTGAAATGGATCAAATGATTAAGTCACAAAACCTAACTCCCGTGTCTATCCTGGGATCCTCCGTATCTCTTTGTGCTTATCAGAAATAACCACCAAGGAGACTGCCTGGGACCAGGAGAGATATCGCTGCCTCTAGCAGCTGGAGATATTTGAGGGGATGGGAGGCTGTCACCAGTAATCCAGCAGCAGTGATGCTTATGGGGCTGCCCAACTCTAATTGCCTTAGATGCAATGCGGTCTCTGCTAAGTAGTCACTGATCAAAGCACTCTTGACAACAAATGAAATCAGAACAGGACAACCATTTGTCATCTCTCCTGAACTGACCCTCATGAGGGTGGCTTATTAATACAAGAAAACCAAAACAGTGGAACACGGGTCCAGGCCCCGGCTAGAGGGCTGAGAGGAATTCTGGGTAATCCTGCTGCTCTTTTTCTTTAATGTTCCTTCCCTGTTTGGCTCTTTTTTCACCTTCTGTCATTAGGGGACCAGTCAGTCTGTCATCTGCCTAGTTGAGAAGTTTCTTAGGAGAAAGCCACTGCCCTTGGAGTGGGCAAGAAGCCATTGTCATTCATACATGCCCATGAATTTTATTGTTAGATCGTTCCCAAGATAACTGGGTGATACCTGAGTAATCCTGGAAAACCAAAGCATTCAGCATCTCCACGAGATGCGAGATGCGTTTCCCACTGAGGGCAAAACTGAAGGGAGAACCAAGGTGCTGAAGGGACCAGCAGCAGCAGGGCTGTGCCCAGAGAAAGGTGTATGGGAGAGAGCTGATGCCTGCTGGAAGGTGAGCAGGAGGAAAAGCAAAAAGGAGATGGCACAGGAAGGGAAGGGATCGCAGCAAGAACAGAGACTCTAACGCCTCCGCCAGTTATCCCTGTGTCCGTTTGTTTCTTCATTCATTTAGTCATTTCTCGAAGGTTAGTGTACAAAGTAATGGGTTTCCTTGTGTCGTCTTCATGACTGTTCTTATACCCGATTCTTGCTCATACCCTCTGCTCCACAGCGCTTTCCTCTATTCTCCCTGCCTCCCTCTGCCGACTTCTTTCCTCCCAGGAAATAGTCCTCCCTCTGCTTTTCTTTCACATGCTTTCCATCACATCCTTCCCCCCCGCCCCACCGCTTGCTCCCTTCAGGCCTCTTCCTCTCAGTCATCAGCCTCACACACATCCAAGCATGGTATAACTGCGGTGATGTGACAGCTCTATTTTTAGCCCTTTGAGAAACCTCCACACAGAGTACCACAGTGGCTACACAAGTTTACATTCTCACTAGCAGTGCGGGAGAGTTTCCTCTGCCCTCACTTCCTTGGCAGCATTTATTGTCCTGCTTTTTGTTTTTTGTTCTTTTGGTTTTTTTTTTTTTTTTTGGTTGTTGTTGTTCTTGTTTTTGTTATTTTTATGTTAGCCATTCTGACTGTAGTGAAATGGACAAAGCAGCTTCAGGTTGCATTTTCTGATAACTAAAGATGCGGAATAAATAAGCACACTATTTCCAAATAAGGATAGTACTTGTATTTCTTTTAATTTTATCTATATTTATAAAACTTGCTATTAAAAAACTTGCAAACAATCTTTTTGAGAACACTATTTTCAGCTCTTTAGGCATTTACTAAGTGGACAATTTTTGGTTTGCATTCGTGTTTTGCATCATACACTGTAGATATCAATCTCATCTGCTGTGGGCCCTAGCATAAGCCGTGCCTTCACTATGCAGCTTTCCTTGCTATGGATAAGAGGCTTAGTTACCCACAATCCCATTTGTTAATTTCTGTAGCTATTTCTCATTCTATTATCATCCTCCTCGGGACGTTCCTGTTTATACCTCCATCTTGAAGTGCCCCAGCAGTGTTTTCTTCCAGCTGCTGCGAAGTTCCAGGTTTTTCATTCAGGTCTTCCACGTGCTTTACACTGATTTCCTGCAGACTGGAAGATCTGGATCTACCTGTTTCATGGTTCTTCGTTATCATTCAACAGTTTTCTCATCACCAAAAGCTGAGGAGGCGAGCTTTTTCCTCAGTATATGCTCTGAGCACGTTTGTTGGTGATAGTAAATAATTGTGGGCATAAAAAGTACTGAGGCAGAGATCACAGTACCTGAGATCAAACTACACACACTACAGACTCCTAACAACAAAACCAGGGTGACACAGACAAAGACAGACATAGAGCAGCAGAAATTCATTTGTTTATTTTTCAATGCTGGATATTCTTGACATGACAAAAACATCTCTCATCTCAAAGTGGGATAAGAGATAATTTATTCTAGAGCAAATATGGGTGATGATGGCCTGGGAATGAACATTTAGGTTGACTCCAATTCTGTGTTTCACCGTCGTAAGGTTTGATGGACTTTACTCAGGAATGGAGTAAAAAAGGCTTATAAGTTAAGGTGCTGGAACCAGGCAGTAATGGTGCATGCCTTTAATCCCAGCGCTTGGGAGGCAGGCAGATCTCTGTGAGTTCAAAGCCAGCCTGGTCTACAAATCGAGTTCCAGGACAACAAGGGCTATTACAGAGACAAATCCCGTCTCAAAAACAAAAAGAAACAAAACAAAGTAATACAAAACAAAAAATAAAAAGAAAGGAAGGGAGAAAGAAAGAAAGAAAAGATGCATAGGTAAAAAAAATAGATAAGAGAATTGAAGCAAATTAAAAGAATTTCTGTTCTAACTTCGGGTATCATTTGAGGATGCCTCTTGACTCCTGGTAGTTAGTAGTCTAGATAAAATGACTAATTAATATTATATTAATTAAAAATAATTATATGATAGATTTCTATACATAATTATGTAACATAGATATATAATTACTATTAATAATAATTAAATGAATACATTTCAACAGTTTATACCCATTAGTCACAGGTGTTAGATCAGCTCGAGAAGCAGACAAGGAATGGCTATCAAGAGGGCTGAGGCTAGGCCAAGACAAATTCTAATTTGGTCCTGGACCTGCAGTGTTCCAGCCTCTCCAAATCCACTCAGATACTAAGAAGTTAAGCAGCTTTGTGGATGAAGGCTCAGGAGGATTTGTGCTTCCTTCAGTAACTTAACAGTATCAAACTCAGAGCCTCGCACATGCCAAGCAAACACTTTGCCACTGACCTACATTCCCAGTCCAAATTTCCTGTTCCATCTTGATTTAATTTTGGTAGGCCACATGTGTCCAGGAGTTTATTTCTTCTTCTCTTTTTTTTTTTTTGACTCTTAGAAGTTTTTGAGCTATTCTTTAATGATCCTCTGGACTTCATTGGGATTTATATTAACTTTCCCATTTTCATATCTAATTTATTAATTTGGGACTTCATCTTTCCTTCTGTGGGCTTAGTGAGGGCATGTCAATCTTCCATATGAGTCTGAAAGCAAGAATGAAGCAGCAATGAAGGAGGAACACTGCCTACTGGCTTGGTCTCTGGTTCATGTTCAACCAGCTTTTTCTGCCACCCAGAACCATCTGCCAGGGGTGGTACTGCCCACAGTAGGCTAGGCCCTCCTACATCAATTAACCATCAAAAAAGGCTGCACAGACATGCCCACAGGTGTTTGCTGGAGACCACCCTCCCCTCCAATTTGAGACTTCCTCAGGTGACTCTAACCTATCTTAAAGTGATAGCTCACGCTAACTAGCTAAGTGGGATAGTATGCACACGTGCTGCCAAAGAACAGAGCGGGGTGGGTAGAGAGAAGAATCCTTGAATCTAAATACTCAAGCACAAAGGGGCCGGAACCTAAAGGAAAAGAGGGATAGGGCACGGGCTAACCAAAACTAAGAATATCTGAAGAAGCTTTATGAAACCCCAGTAGGTTATAAGTTCACTAAAACTTTACCAACAGAAACGGTGTCTGAACTGATACCCCACATGTTTGAACAATGCTGTTCCAGAGGACAGGAGCCAATTACACATAAATCTCAGTGTCAGTAGTGAGCTACCTCCTCACCAGTGATTAGTCTGGAGGCCACAGAGTTCTTCAAATAATCAACACGAACTATCGTCACTTTTGGTTGCCCACCATAACTAGATGGCAAGACCTTAACGCTGGAGGTATCACTCAGTTTGGATGCAGCATACAGAGAGATCAACGATTCACTGAGCAGAAAGCCCTTTCCCTGCTGGGTTGTTCCTATAGTGCTGGAAGGGGCTGTGCAGGCTGCTTGGGAGGTAAGACATCAGTGTTCTTACTCAGCTCTCGATCCTGGTGCTGTAAATTGAACCTCCAGGGCAAGATGTAACCACTAGTGCAATAGTGGCTAGAATAGTGGCTAGAATAGTGGCTAGAATAGTGGCTGGAATAGTGGCTAGAATAGTGGCTAGAATAGTGGCTGGAATAGTGGCTAGAATAGTGGCT